AACAAATAATTTTAAAAGATGAAGACTATATAAAATGGCAAATTTAATAAGAATAAATTACAATTATAAATATCCATGCAACAGACATTACAGCGTCTGAATAAATGAAATACATGAAGCAAAAATTGACAGAACTGAAGGGAAAAGTAGCAGAATAGTACTAAACAAGACTTCCTTGTTCTACATTTTCTTCTTGCAACACTAGATATTGAACCCAGGGCCTCAAACATGTCATGCAAACGCTCTATCATCAAGCTACATTCACAGCCTTCATGTCCCACTTTCAGTAATGAATAAACAATAGACTATCCGGCAGAAAATGACTGGAAAATGACTATTACTGTAGGCAATGGGCCCATTAATGCATCTAGACAACAGCAGAATACACATTTTTCTCGAGATAAAGAACATTCTTATATAGGATAAACATACTAAAATCAGTACACCTAAAGAAGCTAAGCAAGAAGGAGGACCCTGGGCAGGATGATCAATCCTCATTCAGAAAGGTAAATGGGATGGACATTGGAAGAAGGAGAAAACAGGAAACAGGACAAGAGCCTACCACAGAGGGCCTCTGAAAGACTCTACCCAGCAGTGTATCAGAGCAAATGGGATAGACATCAGAAGTGGGAGAAAACAGGAAACAGGACAAGAGCTTACCACAGAGGGCCTCTGAAAGACTCTATCCAGCAGTGTATCAAAGCAGATGCTGAGACTCATAACCAAACTTTGGGCAGAGTGCAGGGAATCTTATGAAAGAAGTGGGAAATAGGAAGACCTGGAGGGGAAAGGATCTCTACAAGGAGACCAACAGAACCAAAAAATCTGGGCCCAGGGGTCTTTTCCAAGACTGATACTCCAACCAATGACCATTCATAGATACAACCTAGAAGCCCTGCACAGATGTAGCCCATGGCAGCTCAGTCTCCAAATGGGTATCCTAGTAAGGGGAACAGGGACTGTACTGTCTCCGACATGAACTCGGTTGCTGGCTCTTTGATCACTTCCCTCTGATGTGGGAGCAGCCTTGCCAGGCCACAGAGGAGGACAATACAGCCAGTCCTGATGAGACCTGATTGGCTAGGGTCAGATGGAAGGGGAGGAGGACCTCCCCTATCAGTGCACTGGGGAAGGGGCATAGGAGAAGAAGAGGGAAAGAGGGTGGGATTGGGAGGGAATGAGGAAGGAGATACAAAATGAATGGGATACAAAACGAATAAACTATAATTAATATAAAAATAAAAATTTAATAAAGAAAGAATATTATTCAGGATAGATCATACGTTAAACCACAAAATCAGTCTTAATGAATTTAAAAATATTTGAAACACTTAAGCCATCTTTCCTGCCTCCTGGGGTTTATACGAGTACAGCATCACACCTGGAACAGATGATCTTTTCTGATCACAATGGAAGGAAACGAGGAGCCAACAGAAGACTGGAAAAAATCCAAGAATATGTAGAAATTAAACAATATGCTCTTCATGTATGTATGTGTGTGTGGGCAGGGCAGCATTTTCATGTGTGTGCAGGTGCATGTCTGTATGCATGTGCCTGTGGAGTCCAAAAGATAGATTTGGGTGCCACTGCTCAAAACTGTCCACCTGGGAATTTTTTATTTATTAATTATAATTTTTATGTGTGTATGTGTGTGGTGCCCCTTTGCCACAGCACTGTGTGGAGGTCAGAGGAAAGCTCTGTGGTGTTAGCTCTTTCCTTTCTAAGTCATGGAGTCTCTGGAGCTCCAACTCAGGGCTGTCAAGCTCGTAAGCAGTTTTACCCACTAAGTCATCTTGCTGGTACTACCTTGTTTTTTGATCTATGCATTCACTGACTGTGCTGGGCTAAGGGATAACAAGCTCCCAGGATCTGCCTGTCTCTGCTTCACTAGTATGGATTACAAGTGTGGGCTAACCACAACCAGCTTTTCACATGGGTGCTGGGCCCTCATGTTTGTGCAACAAGCAGTTTGCTTACTGAGCCATCTCCTTGGTCCACAGTCTTAAACAACTATTAAGCCAGAAATGAAACCATAGGAACAATGACACAATATCTTGTGGTGAATGCAAATGAAAACATACCAAATTCCATGAGTACAGCGGTGATAAAAGGGAAATTTATACCTATAAATTCTTACATTAATAAGGAAGGTCCCAAAACAACAACCTAAACTAATACACTGGGAAGTTGGAGGGAACAAACTCAACTCAACTCACAAAGCAAAACAAACAATAGGGATTAGAATGGAAATAGGCAATAGAGAGAGAAAATTGATAGAAGAAAAATATCAACAGAACAAAATGATCTCTCTTTAGAAAGATCAGGAATATTTTAAGTCTTTGACTGACTGAAGACAAAACGGAGACTGAACCAAAATGAAAGAGGAGATATTACTTCTAGTGTTAAAGAAATTGGATTATAAAAGGAACTGCTGTGAATACATTAAATAACCTAGGTAACAGGACTGGAGCCTACCACAGACATCCTCTAAAAGACTCCGCCCAGCAGGGGATCGAAGCAGATTAAGAGACTCACAGCCAAACTTTGGACAGAGTGCAGGGACTCTTATGAAAGAAGGGGAAGATAGAAGGACCTGCAGGGGACAGGAGACCCACAAGGAGACCAACAAAGTCAAAAATTCTGGGCCCAGGGGGAACTGCAGAGACTGATGTATCAAATAAAGATCATATAGAGAGAAGACCCAGACCCCTGCTCAGATGTAGCCATAGACAGCTCAGTGTCCATGTGGGTTCCTTAATAAGAGGAGAAGAGACAGTCTCTGACATGTACCCAGTTGCCTGCTCCTTGATCACTTCTTCCTGGTGGGTTACCTAGCCAGCCCACAGAGGAAGAGGATCCAGGCAGTCCTGATGGGACCTGATGGGATAGGGTCAGACAGTAGGGGAGGAGGATTTCCTCTATCAGTGGACTAGGGGAGAGAGACAGGAGAGAGGATGGGACTTGGGGGAGATAAGAGAGGGAGCTACAGCTGGGATACAAAATGAATAAATTGTGATTTTTTTCTTAAAGTTCGTGGTTTTAAGCCTGGATGAATTCCCATCCTGGTTTTTTCTTAATATTGTTTTATTACATTCCTAAATGTTAAGTAATACTATGAAATCTTATGAAAATAGAATGAATTTTAAAACTCCTAAAAACAGTTAATTACATTTTGAGAAATAAAAATTATTAAAATGAAAAAATAACCTAGATAAAAATGGGTGAATTTCTCAAAACATACAAGTGCTATAATGAATCAGGAAGACATAGAAAATCTTAACATTTAAAAAGAGCAAGAAGTCTGTGCATTAGTAATCAAAAGCTTCCAACAAGTTTAAAGTCTAAGACCAGATGACTTCCTTGAATGCTACCAAATGGTTTGTTTTGTCTGAGACAGGGTCTCACTGAACTCCTGGTTGACCTGGAACTCACTACATAGATCAGGCTTGCCTTAAACTCACTTGCCTCTATCTCCTGAGTTCTGGGATGAAAAGTGTGTGTCACCAGGCCAAGGTCTACACAGGTTTAAAACAGAGTTAATAGCAGTATCCTTGAACCCTAAAACTGCCCCAACAATTGAAATGAGAAAAACAGTTCAGATGTATTCTACAAGTGCGGCCTCACCTTGATAGGACAGACACTACTGGGGAAGGAGACTATAGACCAATACCTCTGATGAGTATTTAGGCAAAACATGCTCAAGTACCAACAAACAGGATTTAACAAACCAGTATGAAGAGCTATACCACATGACAGAGTAGGATTTATTCTTGGATGCAAGGATGACTTAATACATGGAAACAAACCAGCATAACACAGCAACAAAATGAAACAAAACAAAACAAAGAAACAAAAAAACCCACAAAAACCCACAAGATCATTTCCACCGATGCAAAAAAAGGAAAAAAAAAAAAGCACTTGGAAAAATTTAGCACTCGTATGATAAAAATGGAAGAAAATTGCCTTGGTGGACTACATATGAAAAGCACAAAGGTAACATGTCCAGTGATGAAAGATTGAGAGTTTTTCCTTTAGACCTGGCACGAGATAAAACTGCCTGCTTTCACTAGCTCAGCTCTACATACCACTCAAAGCTCTACTCAGAGCAATTAGCTAAAATGAAGAAATGAAAGGTATTCATATGGAAAGGGAAGAGGAAAAGTTACCTAACATGATTTATATGTTGGGAAAGAATAAAACCTAACTATTACACACACACGAGCATGCAACACACACACAAACACATAATACTTGCACACACTCTCATGTACACACACATACAAGTACATATGCACACACATCCACACGTGCACATGCACACACGCATAAATGTGCGCACACTTGCACACATGTACACACGAAGGCATACACATACACATAAAATACTTAGGCACACACACACTATAACCTTTGAGTAATAAACACATGCACCAAAGCTGAAGATACAACAAGCAAAAGTTGGGTGTTCTATTCATTGGCTCATTAATTACCTAAAAGGTAAACGGTAAAAATGGATTCCATTTCTAACAGCATATGAAGGAATAAAAGGAAAATTAATTTAGGGAGTTTAATCACCTATGTCCTGAGAGTTTTGACCTGTTATGCTTCTGACCAGCATGGTTTCTTCCTCTTTAGGTAACTGGGGTCCTCCACTCTCAGGAAGCCATCACACTGATGTTGAACTTAGTGTAGGCAGCTGATTGTCATGAAGCACTATGACCCCAAATTCCTAGACTCAAGTGATCCTCCTGCCTCAGCCTCCCAAAGAGCTGGAACTATAGGCATGAACCACTGCCTGGTGATTTGTATCACCATAACACATTCTTCAAAGAATATAAGAGGATTGAAAAGACATTCATCATGTTTAGAGATTTAATCTAAGATTCCAAACTAAGCATCACCTGTCTCAAGTTTATGTAAACATGCCACCATGTTTACACCATGTTTTCAATAAAACAACGAGTCAGTGCTGTGCAATGGAGAGAATAGTGTGGGACATCCTGATCTGGAGGGGATAAGAGAGGACTGAGTAGGAGGGTCAGAGAAAGAGATCTGCAGGAGAGGACTTGGAACCATAAGGAGAGATGAACTGGACCTAAGATATGACTAAAACCAAGTATAACGTGGGAAATCTGAACGGTAGGAACTACTCGGGCTTGGAGGTTTAGGATGGAGTAACTAACGCCCAGCATTGTGCTCTAGGTAATTAAATAAATAAATAAACAAACAAACAAATAAATAAATAAATAAATAATTAGATTCCAATATTACTCTAAAATAGTCTATAGATTCAATGTGATCCTTCCCAAAATATCAATAACAATCTTGTAGAATATAAAAGCCTACCTTGGAATTCACTTGAAATCTTCAGGAATACCTGGTAGCCAAAACAAACTTGAAGATCTCACGTTCCTCAATTTCAAATTTACCACAAGACAATAGGATTAGGCAGTGCGACAGAAGCATAAAAACAGACATACACACCAACAAAAAAGAATACAGAACCAAGAGTAAACCCACACATATGTATGTGGTCAAATTATTTTTGACAAGGGAGCCAAGACCATTTTATTTCTAATCTTTTTTATAAAGCTACTTGATTATAGTGAACTCACAAATAAAACCATCAAAGATCTAGGTTACGGCAGCCACTTAAGTGCTTGCCTTGGTTCAACTGTGTGCATCTCAGTGAAGTCCTAAACAGTTGAACAGCTGTTCTGAAGCCACGGAGCTTCGCTTACTGTTTTTCACTTTACTAGCAATTATATTTGTATTCACCTATCCACCATAAAAAGAAAAAAAAATACTATGACAAAGTTGAAACTACAAAACAATTATTTTTATATCCTCTTGAGTGATTCACTCATCTTTTCAATTGCATTCTGTTTTTCCTCATCACCCAATTTATACTATTTTAAAGACTGCTCAAAACCCCTACTCATCAAGAAAATGCAGATTAAAGTTACTTTGAGACACCTCTTCACTCCAGTCACAATGGCTATCATCAAGAAATCTGAATGAAGTTTGGAGAGGATGTGAGAAAAGAGGATTTTTTTTTTTTTCACTGCTGGCGAAAGCACAAATTCATATAGCCATTATGGAAATCAGCTTGAAGTTTCCTCAAATTCAAGTTGTAACTACTGAATAACCCAGCCATTCTACTCTTAGGCATATACCAAGACCATATGATGATGAAGAATAGTATCTTTAAGTAGTGTTTAGAAAACTGTATTTCTACATGCAAAAGAATCAGATTGGATAACATCACATCCTTCAGTGATAGAGATACGACCAGCTTGCTATGTAATCATAGGTTCAAAGTTCTGATGTCAGTTCCCACGAAACAAGCTAGGTTTCATGTACATATAGATAAATAAGTAAATACACCTTCAAAAATTACATCCTTAGATCCTTAATCAGCATTACAGCCAAAAATTAACTCCAAAACACACTGAGGACCTAAATGCAAAACTAAACTAGACTACCCTTAGAGGAAGACATAGACAATAGCCACATGCCAATGAATTAATAATTTCCTGCCTACAATACCCAATGGATAGACAATGAAAGAAAAAATTAAAGCAGATGAATAGGTCAGGACTATACCAAAATATAAAGCTTCTGTGTATCAAAGAACATAGTTGGCGAAGTAAAAAAAAAAAAAAAATTAACATAGACATATGGAGGAAATATTTGCAACTCATATCTCTGATAAGGGGCTAATATCCCCAATACATAGGAAACTCCTAAAAGAACAACAACAACAAAATGAAGAATTTGATTAAAAAAAAAAAGAACAAGAGATTTGAATACATTTTCTCCAAAGAAAAATCCCATCAAAAGATGATCAAAGCTCAAATGGAATATCACTTCACACCCCTTTATTCAAAACAGATAGATGTTGACAAGTTAAGGAAATAAAGAAATCCTGTGCCTTGCTTGTATGAATGAAAAATTAATATAGGTATTGCTGAAAACATTAAGATGATTCCTTAAAAAATTAAAAAATCAGATTACATTATGGTCTAGAAATTTTGGTTTAGTCTCAAAAACAATTTAAAGTAGGGTCTTGTCACATGCCCTGGTCGTATGGCAGAGAAATCATTCTGGCACTGAGCCAGAAGCTTCCTGTACCCTCGCATTACTGGCAAGCTCTATGCAGACGCTGGGAGAGAACTGCCATTAATAATTCTTCAGTGCAGTAATAAAAACTACTGGCCAGGCAAGATATACCACTTGTGTAATAATGGCAAGCCTGTTAAGAGAGCAACCAACTTCCTTTCTGATTGGATTTGAAGCCTGTGCCACAGGCGGGAATTCACATCTGGTACTGTTAAGTTAGTTAAAAGCCTATGGCTGGGGAGGTCATAGTCCCTAGTGAGGAGGCTACTACTGTCATTTTGCTAACTGGACATGACATGGCTATTAAACTGCCCTCTAAATAGCTATGTTTATGCCAAAAGAGTAGTGCTACCGTCAGCTTTGGTCAGAAAAGCTTCTCCTTGCAGTGGCCTGTAACTTCAGAGACCCACAGCTGTTCAAGTATTAAGAATAAGTGACTGCTGACTGCTAACCAATAAATGGGGCATCTACATTACCCCCTGCAAAGCTCTGGGAATATCACAGAAGGGGTGGGAAGAGTGTAAGAGATGGAAGGAGGGTGCATGGTGTGGAATGCTGACTACCAGACATGGCATGCTATTGGACTCTGGGATTTACAGAAGCTGTACAGACCTGTACCAGAATAGGTCTGTCAACATCTTGTCACAGACTAGGGAGAAGTTCTTGAGGCCCCTTCCTTCTCCAAGAATTTATACATTGTTAAGTTTTGATGGGAAAATGTTTTCTTCAATGGGATACCCACTTAGGTGTCCAGCTCCTGTAAACAAAGCTTCCTCATTTTCCTATAGTAATCATAGTGAAACTGATTGGGTCACTAGAAAATAAAAGACATGAAACAGAAGTGGGGAGCTAGTTGAGAAAAAGGGATCAGAGAGAGTAAGAGGGAAACAAAAGGGTAAGAATAAGTAGGATTGAAATACATTGTGCAGATATATGAAGAGGTCACAATGAAATTCATTATTATGTATAATTAATACATGCTAATAAGATATTAAAAAGTAGCATCTCAAAGAAGCATTCATGCCCACGTTCATAGTAGAATTTTCACAACAGTTTAAACACAGAAGAGACCCAAGTTATCCATCGACAGATGAATTGCTGGGTGAGATGTGATTCACACATAAGATGGGATATTATTAAGCCTTACAAAACAAGAACTACCTTGATATATGCTACTCAAACCTTTGATGACATAATGCTAAGTGAAATGAGACAGTTGGAAAACACAAGTAGTAACAATTCTTTTTCTATGAACCACTTAATTAGTGAAAATCGTAGAAAGTAAAAAGCTAGTAGATGGGGAAGGGGAGGGGAGAAGAACTAAAGAGCTATCCCTGAATGGGTCTGGAACGTCAGTTTTACAATAGGAAAAGAGCACTGGGGATGAACGGTGGTGCTAGCCCTATAATGGTGTGGATGTGCCGAGCGTTTCCGGACCGCACATCTCAAAATGGTTACAGTGATCCACTTCATGATATTTTCAAGGAATACATTTAAAATTAAAAAGAATTTTAATATGTTAATATGAATAGAAACCCTTGCATGTAAAAATATTTCAGCCTAAGGATGGGGACTGTGGCTTCAGTTTAATGACATGATAAGTAACTGAAAATAAAGCAAGTGTCCTCCTATGAACAGCATAATTATATTCTAACAGTATTTTTTAGTTGCTTACATGATCTCTCTATTCATTACTTGTTTTTGAGAGTACTTATGTAGCTTTTGCCTACTAGAAAATAAGAAAAATACTTTTAAAAATAGTTCTGAGAGGCCAATATATATATTTTTATCTGATTTCATGATTCCTTAAGTTCTCAGATTTGTGCATATATAAATATGTAACTAAGTTGTTAAGCAAAATTTCTGGGTTATGGACTGATGAGATGGCTTAACAGATAAAGGCGCTGGCCACCAAGCCTGATGACATGAGGCTGACCTCTGGAAGCCACACGGTAGAGAGAATCATCTCCTAAAAGCTGTGATCTGGCCTCCACATACACGCCATGGCATGCATATGCATCTGCCAAATAAATCAATGTAACTGAAAAGTTGGGGTTCTAAATCATCTATATTTTCCATATACCATTGTTTAATTCTTGTGTCACTGAAAACTCTGTCAGTGTGATTGCTGATAGGAATGAAAATGTATGAACCAATCATCTAACTCTGTAGATTATGTAAGGATACCATCTCTACTGATTAGGATGAAAAGAGGCTTTGTACTCTACAGATACATTACATCCATGGAACATACAAAGAAAAATTTGGTGTCATTTTCAGATCACAATAGTTTACGATAGTCATTTAGAAGTTTAGGACTAGCCAATCTGTGAACTCTACTCTGACAAATGCCAGAAAAATAAAATTATCTTTGGCTTCCACGTTCTAATAATGTCTACAAACTTTCAAAACTACAGCTACACTTAAACTGCCATATAGCACTCTCTTTCTCCCACTGCAGCAAGCCATGTGAGAACAGATTTCTAAGTAGAAGGGAGTACTGCCTTCTCTTGACTTTGGAGAGTGATTGCTGGGACATTTTCTGATTTGAGCTGCCCTTCTCAGAGAAAGGAAAATCTGAGTGACCTTGTTCCTGGCTCATCAGTAGGTGAAGGTATATCTTCATTTAGAGATGAGGCAGGAAAGTTTTCTTCTTCAAAGGGACCTGAGGTAACTTCAGCAGTTAAGCTATTGACGTTTTTATATGATGAAGAAAATCCTTCATGAAGGAGGCTGGCGGAAGTTTTATTCTGAGACAGGTGCTGCTCGATGCCCGTGGGAGAGTGGTCCCTACTCTGACTCTGGGACCTGTGATGAAGAGCATCTTCTGAATCCTTATTCCGTTGGCCATCTTCATAGTTTTCAGCAATAGATATATTTACTTCACTGGAAGAAGAAACAACAGTTGGAAGTGAAAAGAGAGATGCTGTTAGGCTTGATGAGTAAGATGTTCTTGCCATAGTCCAAAGACCTGAAGACATGGTTACCTCTTCCAAGTTTGAAAAGTATTTATTGCCATGGTCAGAGTCAAATAAGCTTGGGCGATTTTGAGTCCCGGCATCAGCCGACATTTTAGAAAAGACTTTGATTGCTTTTGCATGAGACAGGTTCTGACTATCTCGTGGAGTATCATAGACAATGTTATTCCTGCAACAGGAAACTACACTTAGCTTGCGGGATGAAGATGATTTTCGAAATCTAATGTCACTAATGTGATCTGAAGATCTTCTGGAACTGGAAGTTAAGTCTTCCTGAGAATCAAAGTTCACTCTACTTTGCTGTTGCTGTCTTGTTTGAAACCTCGCCAGTAAACTATTTTTTCTTTTAGAGAGAAATGAGTGGTTAGATATACTTGATGAAGAAGATAATCTTCTGTTTAGCTTACATGTTGAAGAAGGACGACATTTTATACAACCCAGGGCTACTTTTGGTTGTAAAATAAGAGAGGCTCCATGATGCCTGTGTTGTAGGGTAACTTGGTCTTCAGAATAATTTGGTGGGGAGCTCTGGTCCTCTTTCCAGCAGCTAGAGTGAAAAAAGGGCCAAATGAGGAAGAAAAAGCCAACAGGGAGCTGAACGGACACTTATCAAACTTTCCAAAGGATAGTATCTACCATACCAATGGGAAATGACAGCTAGTTAGAAAACGGTGTGGCTAAGTTTAAAGGCCACACTGATCTACCCAAAAGAATGCATGGGTAGGTAGATTATCTCCCCACGTGAGCCTGCCCACTCTGTTAAAGCTGAGGGGCTGGGAGAGTGAAAGAATCAGGGAAGTGGAAAAAAAAAAAAAAAAAAAAAGGAAGGGAAACATACAATATCAGGCATAACCACACACACACACACACTCTTGTGCAAACACACTCTTGTGCAAACACACTCTTGCACACACTATTAAATTACCATTTTAAGGAAATTGACTAAAATAAACCTATATTCCATTGACTAATTACATTTTAACATATCTGCCATGGATGAAGCAAAAGTCTCTGGGGGGTGGGGGGGTGGGAGGATGCTCCAACTAAACAGATAGATCTGCAGTTACTGTGGGAAGCTAAAGGCAGCACCGCACTGGGTTTCTGAATATTTTCAACATTCTTTAGCATGCAAAACAGGAAGTGGTTTTGTTGGTTTGTTTTATTTTGCTTTGTCTTTAAGGCATACCTTAAGCATTTTCCCATACTGAACTTAATCCAAAGTATGTCTTTCCCTTCTAGGCCATCATTCTTAAGACGTAAAGTGCCCTGTGCAGGTGGAACAGGTCAGAAGGCTGAATACTCAAGCTGCAGGTGGAACTGCCATGGCAATGACACAGAATGTGACGACAGAAGACTCTAGAACCTAATGACATTGGTTTAGGATAAAACTGTTCTGTAGCTCTCCTTTCTGAAGAGCTGAAGTTTCTATGGCTATGGAATGTGTATTTTGATTTCATTATGTTCAAGGAGTCCACTAACAAATTAAGAGCTGAAATCGCAGTTGAATGAAGGCGGTAATACACACCATTTCTGCACAGTTCTTTCCTTCGGACAGCCTCTCACGAGCAATCTTACACATCCTTAGTCTCTTAATCTTTCCTTCTTTCACTTCAATAGTCTTTGCTCAATGCCTTTACATCCAGTGAAGTGGTAAGGTGATACTTAAAAAAAATGTACTGAAGATATATGACATGGGGAGAAAACATTTAAAAAGCAGCACCTGTTTTTGTCAAAACTCTCTCTCTCTCTCTCTCTCTTTCTCTCTCTCTCTCTCTCTCTCTCTCTCTCTATATATATATATATATATATAGAGTCACAGCCATAGCCTTATTGTCTATAGCAGCTTTCAAACTCCAGGGCCAGAGCTTACAGAAAAGAAATTTCCTGACCCCATTTTAGTGCCTTTGATACCTTTAATCCTTTCCCTTCCCTGTCTTGAGTCATGGAGCTGGAGATCGAACCCAGGACCTTGTTACTGCTAGGCAGGTGTCTCACAAAAGCCTCATAAACACTAGGGTGTGCCAGAACCACTCCACTCTAACTGATCAAACATTGCTAACTTACAGAACGTGCTACGGATCAGATGGGTACAAAGCACTGTCCTCTAGCATTTCAATTAAGACTTAAAACAACATGACACATACCTTATTAACCATGTTTTAATTAAAGTGATTTTATTTGTTATTACTGCATGTTTGTGTGGGGGTAGAGCCGTGCAGGCCATGGCATTGTGGCATGCAGGTGGAGGCCGCAGGACGGATTTTGGGAGTCAGTTCTCCCCTTCCGCCTTAGGTTCCATGGACTGAACACAGGTTGTCAGGCTTGTGTGGCAAAGGCCTTTGCCCTCTGAGCCATCTCACTGACCTTAGCTACACATGACGAAAAAATTCAGGTTCGGGACACTGGTGTCATATATGTAGTTAAAGCTGAGCCAGGATGCATCCCTGTGCTGGAATGATGACAGCTGGAGGCCTCATTACTGCTCTTGAAACCTCATTTTTCCCTGGCTTCACAGTCCTCTGCTGGTTTGTTCTGGGCTGGGGTTGTTTTGTTTCGTCCTCCCACTTCAACACACACTTGTCTGACCAGTACTCAGTGTCATTTGCAGGCTCATTCACCTTCACTCACTCCAGTCGGACTGGTTCCAGAAGGCTGTGGACACCACTCTTCTCGCTTCTCACACCGCACCGTTGCTTTCACAACAGCACCCATTCCTACAGAATCTGGGCCTTGCAGGCATGCTCATGGGATGGTCAACAATGGAGTCACTCCTCAGCTCTGCAGCAGTGCCCTCTCACACCAGCAGGTGAGTGGGCCTTTGCCCAGGCCATGGCTTCAGCCTCTCAGCAGGCCCTTGCCAGGTGGATCAAGCACCTGACTGCACAGGATGCACTTGAAACGTTTTGTGTGGTCTTCAGGGTTCTTCAACATCCTGCTCCATTTTAAAGAAAAGTGGTTGGATAGACAACTCTTTCTGAGTTGTTCCTCCAGACTTTGGACAGTGCCTGGCACAGAGCAGACATGGTCAGTAAGTATGAAGGACTTCAGCTGTATTCTCAGTTTTTCTCTCTGGTCCCCTTTCCTCTCCTTCTCTTCTTCTCCCCAACCCCACCATGGAAGAGAAAATCTGTTTGCAAACACATGAGAAGATGCTCACTATTACGAATGTTCAGAGAAATACAAATTTGTAAATTATTAAGTTAACAATAATCTTCATAAATTTGTCTAAAATTTAAAGTCCAACGCTATAAGCATTAATATGGGACAATAAGGATTCTCATACTGGTTACAGGTTTGAGAACTGGATGTATTTTTAAGATGTATTAATACTCATATAACAAATACGTGTAGTCTCTAAGTCAGCATTTCAAACCCAAGCTTTAGAAACCTTCTTCTACATGTGCCTAAGGAATTATAAGGGTATCCCTGAAGCGTTTTTGTAGGAGCAAGCGAACGGTGGCCTAAGTGCTCAGCAATAAGGCATACCTATATCCCATGGAATGAATCACCACACCTAAGAAGAAACTCATTTACATGCATCAACATGGACAAGCCTCAAAACAGAAAAAAAAAGTTAAAGCACAAATAGCTACAAAAAGCTCCCAATGCATCACATGTCATTTCTATATATTTTAGGAACAAAACACTATTTATTCCTTGAATATAGGAACATAGACACGTAAAGGAAACGCTGAAACTGTCAAAAATTGCATGTAGGCTAAGGCAAGGGTTATCTCCTAAAGAAAAGATTTCAATTACAATGCCACATTTTTAATAGATCAGAAAAAAAAATCATTTTCTAACTGTAACAACTTTGGAGAATACAGAAATCAACATTATAATCAGCTTCTGAGTCTGTTTGCCTGGAAGCCGAGACCTGAATCACAACACCAAACTGACCTGACAGAAGGCAATAACCATAAGAAAGAAATGACAAAACCAACAATAACAACAACAACAAAACAAACGAACAAGCAAAAAACAAAACAAAACCCACGGGCAAGGTCTATATTTCAGCTCTCAGAGCTCGAAGTTAAAGCATTCTCCAGTAAACTCCGGAAGCTTGGAGCAGTCAGTGGCCCGACTCAGCATCATACTGTTATTCCCAAGTTAGCACAATCTAAAGTTTCGCACATGCCTTGTACTTCACTGGTTCTCTTGTGGGGTCTCAGAAATGCTTGTGGTGGCTAAAGAGTCCCTGATGGGAAACTGGTTGTGATTGAGCAGGTTCCAATGGGAGAGAGAAGGCCTAGAAGGTGAAACTAATTAAATTAAAATACGATTTTTTTTTTTTTTTTTTTTTGCTTAAAAACTTTTCTAAAGCAGTGTTAGATAGGAAGGTTTCTTCCCATTTTCTTAGTTCAGAGGCATTTAGTCTAGCCTAGTCTGTCATTAGGACTGTATTGTATCTATCCTTGTACATTATTGCTAGCAAAACCAGCCTTGATCAAGCAAGAGGAGGTACTGTTTCACTGTCTCTGTCTTAAAGGTTTGATACAGCCATACCAGTTATGCCAGTCATAATTTTAAAAAATCTTTCTCAAACCCACATTCATTGTAGACTTTATCCTAATATTTAGAGTTTAATTAAATCTTGTAATTATTTTCTTTTTATCTGTCATAAACTGAACAAGGGCTGCTCCTCTTTCTAGAATGGTAGAATTTTCTCAGCAAGCAGGCTTAAATTCATTGAGATGGGGTTTTAAGAATACAGGCCGCTCACCACTTTAGCCTTTACTGCCGGCTTCTGGGTCCCCTCCCATCTCCATCTTTAACATGTCCTGTGTGTGAAGGGACTGCTCAAACCTCACCCAGCATCCCCGATGAAACTCTACCACAGGTTTCCATGTGGGCAAGGTAATTATATGGTTGGTCTTCTGTTCCTCTCAGCGATGCCCCATACTGTGGAGATTTCTGATCTTGCTAGAGTACTAAGCTGTGCTTACCCATCTTCCTGACTATTCCCAGGTCTCCATTCGGATTGACACCTTTCAGTGCAGCTTAGGTGTTTTCTAAGCATTCCGCTTGCCTATTTTAAAGCCAGTCTAGGGCATTTTGTTACTGTTCAGAGACACCAAGTTCTTAGACATAATAATTTAATCTACCATCTGTGGTTTTTCCCTGCCAAAAGAACTGCAGAGTCATTCCCCCAGCATACAAACAGATGCTTGACAATTCTGGACCCAGCCCTGATGTCTAAGACTTGACCCACTACTTACACTTCATCCCTACTTTGTTTTCTCCCTTCAGATACCACCTCCCAATTCCACTCAAAGTGTGCGGATCACCCATCCAGTTAAGAAATTCTTACTGGCACCTACTCTGTGAAGGCACAGAGGTAAGTCATCACGGAGACAGAAATGTCCCTACCCTCAAGGATGCCAGGCTCTATCACATTCAGGACAGACCTTTAAAAGTTAAACATACATACAATCAAACAAACAAAAAAAATCCCTGGCTATTTTGTTCTTCAAAAACACTACCCAGGGGTAATGTTTTAAAATCACACATTATTTGTTTCCCAACTAAGGGAATATTTGTTCTTAGTGCTAGAATTCAGGATATTAACCCATTTAGCGATGAAACAGAATCACTTACATATCCTCTATTCTAGACCCGCAGTCAAATTCAGTGGCTACTAGCTTCAAGCAGTACATTTAATGATATGAAATAAAATGATAATTACGATGAGTTAAAATTCTAAGTTCCTTTCCTTGCTTGTACCAGCCCACATTTTAAATGCCTAGGAGTTAACGGCTAACACTGTTGTGCTGGGCAGCACAGACAAAGCCAATGTGTTCCTGTAACATCACAGGAAGTTCTATTGAGCCCACTAGTCTAGGGAGTTTGTGTGTAAAAGCCACACAGTACTCACATTTTAAAATAGATTACCCATCTTGGCAAATGACGACTGTCTTCTTTAACTCTTACATGATGCCACTTACTACTAGTCATTTAAAAGACCCAAATTCTAAATTATCTATTCTGGAAAACAATGATGGGCTTCCTCAATTCTAATAGGATGTCATTCTATATATGCAATATATTACAAGGGATACCTATTATATATATGAGAAAGGAAACCAAATATTTCTTTCATTTCCTTTATTAGCAGAGCAAATGAGTTTGCGTATCGATCTAGGTAACAGCAATAATGTGAGAAATAATTTGACCCAGGAAACATTGAGGATACTTACCCTCCTTCACTCTCTGCTTCCTCTGAACTATTGCTTGTAGCTGAACTTTGAACCGCTGTCGCCCTTTTTTTTCTAGCTCTGTGCTGAGGGCTGACCTTATGAAGTGTTGTTTTCCCTCCAAGTTCATCTTGTATATATTCCTCCAGCTTTGGAATGGTTTCTTTAAGAAATCTGATTTCCTCCTTAAGTTCTTCCATGTTGGTCAGTAACTCATTCAACTTTTCCAGTATCTGAACTTGTCTTCTTTGAAAGACTGCCGATGCTCCTTGTTCACTGTGGCTTTCATCTTGCAAAGTTAGTGAATCGAGTTTCTTACCCAGAGAGAGAAATTTAGGAAAACTCATTGTTGTTGTTAGCTTTCGGACCTTGTGGTACCATAAGGCCAGCAAGCTGATTCCAGCAGTTCCCACCATGATGCCAAGGATCAGTTCTTTGTTTGTGGAATGAGGCATTTCTTGGCTTTTATTTCTAAAATTAAAAAAATAAAAATGTAAATGAATGTTGTTTTTCTGTTCAGGACAAAAATATTGGTGCTTTTTCAGTCAATAAAAGATAACCCTTTGTTATAAAAAAAATCTGACAAATCACAAGCTAAACTATGAGCAAGTGCCTCTTTAATATTTCTCAAGAGAAATACTTGCTTACGGCTGTTACTGAAGTCTACTTTAACACTGACTTTAATTCTGATTTCATTATCTCTCTACAATCAACCTGAAGTTTACCCTTTGATTATACTTTAAAGAGCTTGATCAGTAGAAACAAAAGTATCATTAGCTGGAGAAAATTATTTAAGAATTTAAGATGTCCTTGTTTTCTCTGCTATTTTGTGTGCAAATTAACAAGTGAGATTTCTTAGTCTTAGCGTCTCATTAAAAGTAAGAGGAGGCTTTTCTTTAGCATATAAGTATATAAATATACTTACAAGCTCGCAAACTTGGTTTCACTTTGATTTCCTCTATTAGACATATATTTGTGTTAAAGTTTGCTAGCAACTTGGGAGAAATGGCTGTAAGCCATCCATGTTAAGAACAGATTACTAAAGCACTGCTAACTATAACGCTGATCAAACAGAAAGAAATATTTCCTGTGGGAACTCTTGTAGCGATAATTTCAGGGTCCACAGAAACTAAAGTGTCTAGAATTTATGTGCCAGAGTAGAGAGGATAAGGGAAGCATGTCTGGAAAACACGCAGTTAAACTCCACGGGGCTGGCAAAGAATAACTTCAAGGGAATTAGCAACTACCAGGAAGATGTAGGTTAAACTGGTTCCAAGGATCACACAGAACTGAGAAGTATTCAGGATGCCAAGAAGGCTTATAGACTATGTGAGGCTTTGAAGAAACAGAGAGCTCAAATGGTGGAGAGGCTAAAGGAACCTGAGATTTAGGGCTATTTGGGCTCCCTCCAAAATAGATTAAAAGTAAGCTTTCAAAGTATTAAATTAATTCACCAGTGAGGAAAAGAAAAGTGTCTAATACTGTAAACAAACAGAAAAAAATGCAGAATTCAATAACGTACAAGCAGAATGTCCAACCTAGCAACGATTTATCAGCCATGCACAGAAGCAGAATTCCAGAGATGATGTAATCAGCAAAGGCCTTAAAACAATTATTTAAAACATTTGCCACTTATTGTAAATAAAATATTATACTATTAAAAATATATTACAGATATATTCACAGTAAAGATACACATGATGAGGAGAGAAGAAAAGAAAGTTTTAAGTTAGACTGTAATTTCCAGAAATGAAGATAAAATATCTGGGAAAAAAGTTTTATGAAATAAAACTTACAGTGATATACCATGGAACAACAAAGAAAAATGTACTTGAAGACACAGCAATAAAAATCGGATTATCCCTAAATGAAGCACACAAAGGAGAAACAAGCAGACCAATGGAGCACCACGAACAGTCGAAAGCTGGTAGAAGGTCAGAGGGTGGAAAAGGGGAACAAACAACTCCTAAATTAAACAAAAGTCAACTTAATAAAAAAAAAAAGAGAAACCAAGGTATACTATTACTATAAAAATCAGGGGAAAAGAGAGCCAGAAGGAAGGAAGGAGTGGAGAGAGGAGAGGAGAAGACTTACCGGTGCTTATGTCCTTAGGAGCCATTTAAACAAGAAAATGGTGAAATGACATCTTTAAAATGCTGGAGGGTGGGGGAAATTGAACAATCAGCTGAAATTTCTATACCCAGTGAAACATCATTTTAACCAACATTAAAGGTTAAAAAACTGCGGGGTTTAACGAAGGTGAGACTAGTATCACCAAGTGACAAGTGCTAAAAGGGAAGCTAAGAAGTTCTTTACACAGAAGTGCAACAGTAACAGTGAACACAGAGGGCGCCATCTACCAGGAGTGAAAAATATGGGTAAACAGAAAAGTCAGTTTCCTCACTTTAAAATTTACTTATAAAACAGTTGCTATTAAAGCCATAGTGGGTACAACACGCCATAGGTTTATAACAGATCTAGAAACTAAGAGACAGGACAACAATCCAAAGTAAGGAACAGAAAACATAAAGGTATAGATAAACCAGTGTGTGTGTGTGTGTGTGTGTGTGTGTGTGTGTGTGTGTGTGTGTG